ATGTATATTCTGGTGATTAATAAACCTTTTAGAAATTAAATGATACTTGGGCACAGCTATTTCTGTGCATTTCCTCAGTTGGTGGATGCTAAAAAGTGATCTCAGTAACTAGTGGGTGAGGCCGCCAGGCCCAGATGTCAGGGAAGCAGCAGATAAAATCTTTCTGGACGGAAGGCCTCTGATTATCACCCAGTCTTTATCTGTGACTTTCAAACCACTGCTTCCTTGGGTTGTGAATGGGTCCTTTGGGCCCAACTACCGTGGTTCCTTCTTACTCCATTAGGTCACTTATAAAAATACCATAAACGGGGTAGCTTATAAAACAACAGAAATTTATTTTTTTCGGTTCTGGAGACTGAAAGTCTGGGATCAAAGGACCAGCAGATTCAGTGTCTGTGAAGGCCCGCTTCTGAAAAGGCATCTTTTCTCTGTAAACTCAGATCGTGGAGGGGCAGGGAGGGGGTTACTCTTTTTTTTTTTTAATTTAACTTTATCATGTTATGTTAATCACCATACATTACATCCTTAGTTTTTGATGTAATGTTCCATGATTCATTGTTTGCTTATAACACCCAGTGCTCCATGCAGTACGTGCCCTCCTTAATACCCATCACCAGGCTAACCCATCCCCCCACCTCCCTCCCCTCTAGAACCCTCAGTTTGTTTCTTAGAGTCCATAGTCTCTCATGGTTCGTCTCCCCCTCCGATTTCCCCCCATTCATTTTTCCCTTCCTGCTATCTTTTTTTTTTTTAACATATAATGTATTATTTGTTTCAGAGGTACAGGTCTGTGATTCATCAGTCTTACACAACTCGCAGAGCTCACCATAGCACATACCCTCCCCAATGTCCATCACCCAGCCACCCCAGCCCTCCCACCCCCCACCACTCCAGCAACCCTCAGTTTGTTTCCTGAGATTAAGAATTGGAGGGGTTACTCTTTGGGGTCTCATTTATAAGGAGGCTAATCCCATTTGACCTAATCATCTTCCAAAGGCCTCACCTCCAAAAACCATCACATTGGGGGTTAGGGTTTCAACATGTGAGTTTTAAGGGGACACATTCAGTCTAGAGCAGTTCCCAAGTGGTGGCCCCCATAGGCCTTACCCCATGTGCTTACAGGTACACTAGCAAACCTATGCCCCTATGTCCCTGTGTCACTCATACGTTCATGTGTCCTTAGCTTCACAGGCATGGCCAAGGAGTCAGAATCTGGCACCATTTCATAAAAGAGCAGAGTTAAGGACTCAGGGTTGCCACACAGCCAGAATTGCTGGGTCATTAAGATGCTGCCTTCAGACATATACTTTTCTCCTTCCCTTACTCTGGCACAAATCCCCCAATAGTAAATTACCTCTAGACACCCGAGCTTGTATGTTACCAGATCTGGCCGTTTCCAGCTGCTGGGAAGAAAGTGACTATAGGGCCAACCAAAGGACTAATTTTGAATTGGTGAAGGACCAGTTCTATAGCTCTGTGATGGTTGTTGTAATACAAGTAATACAAGTAATGAATGAAAATATGCTAATAAAAGAAGTATGGCTAGATGTTATAGAAAGATACATATATGTCTGTACATAGAGGAAGTATGTAACACGTGCTTACTGTAAATATGTATGTGTGTAGATCTCTAAAACAATATAGACATTTATAGAAAAACAAGTAAAAATACTTCTTCACACCCTATTCCATCCATTCCCCAGAGGAAACCACTGCTGCATTGTGATGGCTGTCCTTATAGACATCTCTCTATGCATTTACATAATAAACAAATGCCTGTATATTCGTACATTTATAGTTTGTTTTTTCTTATCCAGTAGCTTGATTTATTCACCTCACTTCATTTATCTTTGATTCTTTTCCAGTCTTTTTAACTGTAGCAGAATATTCCCCAATATGGGTGTAACGTTCTGTTCTGTTAACAATGGATACCTAGTCGATTTCCCTTTTTTGTTATTACAAACAGCACTGCAGCAGATCTCCTTGGCCATACATCTTTATGACTGGAATTGATGTCTGATGAGTAGATTCCAAGATGTAGAGTAATGGGATCAGGGATAAGGCACATATAACATTTAGCTGATACTGCCAAATCCTTCCAAAAGGTTTCTATTTTCACTCTCACCTGCGGTGTGGAAGTGAGTTTTTACGCCCTTGCCAGCACTGCTTTATTATTAAAACAGGGTATTCGAGCCTGATAGGCGAGATCAGAGGCTGTTGTTTTATTTTGCATTTAAGTATCAATAACGTTGAACATCTTTTTGTACGTTCATTGCCATTGGTATTTATTTTTCTGTAATTGGCCTGCACATATCCCTTACTGATTTTTTAGTTGTAGGAGTTCATATGCATTTTGGATATTAATAATTTGTTACGTACATTGCAAATATTTTCCTTTCAGTGGATTGTTTGTTTTTTACCTTTATTTATAACATCTGTTTGCCAAAGGGAAGTCTTAAGTATTTATGTAGAAAAATCTGTAGAAGGAATTAGGGAATTTAAATGGATTTAGGCTGGTGGTTGGGCCCTGTTTTAGCTATTGTTCAAATGTATGTATGTATATTCTGGTGATTAATAAACCTTTTAGAAATTAAATGATACTTGGGCACAGCTATTTCTGTGCATTTCCTCAGTTGATGGATGCTAAAAATACAACTATCATTGTGTAGAGAGTTCCAGAAAATCTGTGGTGCTGCAAAGAGGTCCCCCATACATGGAAAAGTTGGGGACCATTGACCCAGAAGATGGACTTATATCTGCTTATAAGTAATTGATAAAGTCTATTAGTCAGGACTCATTTGGTTGAAAGTAAGCCCAATTCAAACTAGCTTAAGCAAGAAGTGTTATGTATGACGTATATCACTGGGACATCTAAGAGAGGTTCTGGCTTCAGCCACATCTGAACCCAGGGTCTCCAAGAATGGATGTCCTCAGGTCTTTCTCTCTCTCTCTCTGATTAGGTCTCTGCATTGGTTGGTCTGCCTTGTCTCTATTCAGCATCATTTTCTCCCACTGCAGACAGAGGTGGTCCAAGGAGGGACAGGTAGCTGGAGCAACCCCGGGTTTCCATTCTTAGAGATCAGTATACAAGAGACCCTTTGCTAGTGTGTGCACAGCACCTCTGTCAAGGAAAAGGAGACTAGTTGCCCCATCACTATCCTCATTGACTCAGTCACATGTCCCCCCACCCCCTAGCCTGGGGCAGGGACACTGGGAAGAAGCAGTTCACCCACAGAAAGAGGGGTGCTAGATGGACAGACTGCAGGACCAACGCGTGACATCCAGAAGACTGGTGGGGAGAACCTGGCCCGGAGGCAGAGGAATGAGCTTGACATGGGGCTCCATCCACCACATCCGCCTTGGGTGGCTGCCTCAGTCTCCCTCTTGGCGCTAGGCTCTCTCCTCTGTAAAGTGGTCTTGGGAGGGTTAATGAGTGACGCCTGCCATTGGGCTCCTGGGGACCCCAAAGTGCAAAGCAGATGATATCAAATGAGATCTGTCAGCACATCTAGCACTTCATAGGCACTCAAGAAGTGATAGTTTTCCTCTCTGGTATTTACCAGAATTCAAAGGGCATTAGGAATGAGGTAACCAGGCTGCACGAAGTTCTTCCTTTACCACCGGAGCAAGGCCCCTTTCTCCGGGGTGGCCCACCTGCCTTTTGCACAACTAATTATTGGTCAGGAGAAGGTAATGACATTGAGAAAGAGGCAGGGCACCCTGAGGCCTCAAGAAAGTTCTTGAGGAGAAGCTGACCGCTTGCTGGACTGAAGTCCACCTTAGTGCCGGGGGAGAGGAGAGTTACTCGGTGAAAGTCCAGCCGTGCTCTGGGCCCCTGTGGCTGGCCTGGTGCCTCCCATGACTGCACATGTCATGGCCTGCTTTGCTTCCCTTGCAGTCCACCTGACCCCCGTGTCCACAACTAAGAATGGAGTGAATAGCAAGAGTCGGAAGAGAGTCATGCCTGAGCCAGTGACAGAGCCCCCCGTGACGGACCCCATTTACGAAGCTCTCTTGTACTGCAACATTCCCAGCGTGGCTGAGCGCAGCATGGAAGGTAGGCCTGCCTGCGCTGCCCCGCGTGGCACCTGGACCCGCACCCCTCTGGGGACTAGTAGTTCTTCAAGTGGCACAGCATGGTAGGAAGGAGCCAGACAGCCTGGGCTCAAATCCTGCAGTCGCCACTAGGCCGTGCCCCTGAATGAGTTCCCAAGGCTTCGCTTCCTCATCGTGAAATGGGCGTAACTAGCAGTCCCTACTCACAGGGCTGCCCAGAGGCTTCTGTAACTGCTCTGAACAGCTCACGAGAAGCCCTCTGTACGTATTCGCCATCATGGTTTTCGGTGAGATACCAGAGATGGAAAGGTAGGCTTGATGGACTCTAGGGTGTCTCCCGCATCTACCCCCCCTTCCAGTAAACTCTCTCGGGGCTTAGGACGTCCACAGGATGCGGGATGCTCTGTTGGTATCTTGCGGTAAAAGTGTCGGAAAATAGGATTTCTTTGTTGAGTTTTGCTTTTTTGAAAGTGCATCAAAGAATGATATTGAATATTTTTATCAATTTGTGCCCTGATTTGTTTCATGGAGCTTTATTTTATTTATTATTTTAAGTAGGCTCCACACCCAGCGTGGGGCTTGAACTCACAACCCTGAGATTAAGAGTCACGTGCTCTATTGACTGAGCCAGCTAGGAGCCCCTGTTTCATGGAGCTTCAAAGTAGAAGTCATTGTTTCTAGCACTTCTGTAGGCCTCCCTCTAGGCTGTGGATGTGAGTGAGGCTACCTGAATCATCGTGCCCCCATTTCACTGGCCTCCAGCCCCCAGCCATACCCCCAGAACCTGTTACTTCTGGGGGGTCTGAGACATAACCAGCCCTGTCTCTGTTCCTCCACCTGCCTTGTGAGCACCCCCCCACACACCGGCACCCTCCTGCCATGCTCACCCCTCCACTTGTGCGAAGTGGACAGGATCCACACCTCCTGAGTGCTAACCAGGCGATATGCTCCTCTCCCACAGGTCACGCCCCGCATCATTTTAAGCTGGTCTCAGTGCATGTGTTCATTCGACACGGGGACAGGTACCCACTGTATGTCATTCCCAAAACGAAGCGACCAGAAATTGACTGCACTCTGGTGGCTAACAGGTAAATTGCACTTTTTCTACTAGTCATTTATTTTCAAGAATCTGTTCTTTCTGTCCCGATCAAAATGCTGGCTGGAGAATGGCAGAAAAGGGGAATAAGCTACGTTTGTTGAGCACGTCCTGTTTGCCAGGAGCCTGATCTTCAAAAACAATCTTGCGTGTTAATTGCCATTTCCCAGTGGAGAAGGAGGAGGCCCAGAGAGGCAAGGACAGCTGTGTGAGACCACACAGCAGAAAAACTGAGATTTGGGTCCAGGCCAGTGTGAGGCCCACTCTCCCCTCCCGTGTTCTGCAGTTTGAGAAAGAGCTGGGACACAGTGCAGTGAGCACAGGGCCAGATGTCCTCAGACCCTGGGGCAGCTCTGCTGTTTGGGGCAGCAGGAAAGTCCCTTAGTCTCTGAGCCTCCCCCTCCCATCTCTGCAGTGGGGATGCTGCTGCTGACCGTTGGGTCAGGAGGAAGTGAAATGATAGAGGAGAACGTGCACCCCCAGCTGCAGAGCCATATACATGTGAGACTTGACTTCCACCTTTTCATTTTTCATGGGAGTAGGGATAGCACGTTCTTGGTTGAATGCCCTTAGGATGAAAAACAATTCAACAGATTGCATACGGCTCTAAAACGAGAGGCCGAGTTAGCACTGAAACGTCGGGCCGGGCCTCAGCGCCGTGTCAGGGGGCATATAACATCCCTCGCAGGGTTGACTGAATGAGCGGAGGAGACGGAGGGAAGTGCTCAGTGGGGAAGACGTCACGTAGATGGAATGCTTCTGGATGCCAGCGTGCCCCGGGCAGGGCCGGTCTGGGGGAACCATGGGTTGCCTCCCTGCAGCCAGGCCTGTTCCTTCTAGTGGATGGTGGTGTGAACCCCAGGGAGGGGGTTTCAGGGTGACTCTTTGCGTCTCCAGGCTTCTCACCGTCCAGGATTATATGGAGAAGAGAAAGGGAACCCTTGGATATAAACACATCCTAAAATAGTGCCTGGCTGTAGGCTTTCATGCACTCTCTCCTTCCCTACTAGAGGTCATAGAGCTCGCAGCCTGGGTACTTGTGTCCCTTCTATGTTAACAAGCCTAGGTGCATGTCCCAGTGTCCGTCCCGTGGCTTGGAAGAGCCCCTGGGTCGAGGGCCATGTGGACACTGGCTTTCTTCCTCTGGTCTCTAGCCTGTGCCAGCCTTCCTGCTGGGACCTTCTACCCCTGCCCTGCCCACCTCTCGCCGGCCCCCTAGCCCATCAGGCCCTTGCCCCTGCTGTTCAGCTTGCGTGCCCCGTCCCCGCGTGACCCACTCCTACAGCTCCTCACAGGCTCCCCTGAGATGCTGCCTCCTCTGGGCAACCCCTCCTGCTGCGTGAGCATGGCTTCTCCGCTGGTAGCGGGTACTGCCACTGGAAAGGGGGGTTACGGGAAGGGCCTCAGAACAGAGTAATGACCAGTCCTGAACTGGCCTTAGGATTGGGGCAAGGCTAGAGGCCACTTGCCGGGCTGCGTATTAACCCTGTGGTGTCTGGATCGGGGGATGGTCTGGAGTGTCTGGGATGGCTGGAGGACATGGAGAGGGTGCAGGGAGGGCAGCTCAGCGAAGTGGCTTTGCACCACCGGCATAGACTGTGGGTATCTGCCCTTTGAACTGCCCAGGAACGGATGGGCCGAGAGGCCTCTCAGTTGGCCACACTCGGGGCAGCCTCAAGGACTCCGTGGGCAATACCATGCTTTAGCCCTGGTGACTCGTGGCTTCTGCTCCCAGATGGGAGAATTTCAGTGGCTCGGCTCAGACCAGGGGTCTGTCTCCAGACCAGTCGGGTCCCTGAGCACCTCGAGGCTCTGGAGGTTACCCTAGCTGTTCCTACAGAAGGTGCCCACTGGGCACGGCTGCCCGCCAGCCTGCAGGGCCTCCCCAGTGCTTTGCAGCGTATCTTCCAGCATGATGGTCTCTGCCCTTCCCACACCACTGGCTGGCTCCTCAAGGGCATTGGGTCTTGCTCCTTTATCACTGGTGCCCAGCTAAAGCCTGGCATAAAATAGTTGTTGGACTAGTTGGTTGCAGAGTGAATTCAGGACCTTAGAATCATGAGTCATAATTGCCCATCCAGCGCCTCATGATAGATTACAGCCTCTGCCGTGGAATCCTCTGAGGCCTTTGTAACCTTTTTGATAGAGGGCAAAACCCTTCACCTTTGTGAGCCTCAGCGCTCTGTCCTGGAATGTGGGGACAGTAGTCCATCCCTGATCACAGCCTTGTGAAGTCTAACTAAGGGGATGGACTGAAGCACTGAGCTGGTCATACTGAGAGGTGGACCACGATGGCATTTCATTTACTGCAGTGGCCTGCAGGCTTGCTGGGCCCGGCCTCCTTCCTCCTCTGCGAGGTCATGGTCATGAGGCCAGGCCAGGTCCCAGGGCCCATCATTCTGTCACAGCCACTGCAGGATCCCCTGACAGGGCCATTTCTGGAGCTCCCATTTGAGAGGCGCAGTTCCTAGGGGGGACCAGCTGCTCTGGCTGTCTCCGCCCTCATTTTCTCTGGCCTTGATCTTTTGACCTACTTCTATTTTATTGCACATTCTGTATCTTTAGGAACTGCTTGAAGTCCTTGGTGGAAAGAGGGAGGAGTATGCATGTTTAATTAATTACTGTCATTTAATCCATCTTTAAAAACATGAAGTTGACTTGTCATTATAAATGCACACTTAGAGTGAGCAGGACTCCCAGAGACGTGACCCCACTTTGGGCTTCTGAGTCCCCTGGGACTGTGGGGTCTGGGTCACCAGCTGCGCCTGCTGCCTTCCCAGGTACTAGCTCAGCTTCAGGAATCATTAATTTTTATGGCCCCTTAAAGGCAGTGGGTCCTAGAATGTGCCCGCTCCTCTAGTCTAGTGAGAGGGCAGATCTGGGCCAGCAGGCAAGTTTGCAGTGAGCTGAGAACGTAGGAGCTGATGTCCGTGCATGTTGGCGGCCCCAGTGTTTCCCTTCACGGGGACACGGTCCGTGGCTCTCCCAAGTCTTTGTAGTGGAAGCTGCCTCTTCATGAATGTCCTGTGCCTCATGACGGAGGTGCAATTTTCACTCTCCTAGGACAGTGTTCAGCCAGCAATAAGGTTATTAGCCATAGATACGCAATGTTTATTGAATGCTTTTTTTTTTGCATTCATGAATATGAATGAGATACTCTTTTCTACATCCAAGGAAGAAAAGAATATTCACTTCAATTAGTATTTATTCAATACATTTTATTTTTAAACACCTGTTATGTGTCAGGTATTGTGACATGTGACTGGCCCACGTACCAGGAGATGGCATGTGGGCAGGCCCCTAAATAAAATGAAGGAGCCCGCCCTGTGCAGATCTGGGGGAAAAGTGTTCCAGGTAGAGGGAACAGCAAGTGCAAAGGTCCTGGGGCCGGAAGAACTGCACAGGTATGAGAACAGTAAGATCAGTATGTAGCTGGATGGGAGGAGGGAGGGGGAGAGCCGGCTGCTAAAGATTTGTAGAAGAAAGGCTGTTCCTGCCCCCAGGGGGACCACTCCCCTCTGAGAGACAGATCTGGTGGTCAGCACTGATGGTGGTGGCAGCAGTATTAGAGAAGAAGTGGAAGAATTAGAAAAAAGGTAGAAGTGCAAGTAGTTTTGGAACCATATCTGGGGGCATGAACCATGAGAGGGCAGCCTGACTCAGCCTGGGGCAGAGGGAGAGGTGGGATGGCAGGGTAGGGAAGGCCACCAAGGCAAAGGGACCTAAAGGGTGTGCAGGAACATGTCAGGTGGCAGCTGATGATAAATGGCACCTGGGGCGGTGAAACCTACCTGTGCAAAGGTGGGGGGAGGTGGACAGCTCAGCCACAGGCTGCAGCATGAGTGGAGAGGCGGGGAGGGACTAGGTCATCGGATGCTTCGAATGCCCAGCTAAGGAGTATGGACGCCAGGCATGAAGGTGGCGAAGGAGCTGGGAAGTGGAGGGATGAAATTATAAAGATCTCTGGCTGCCATGATGCGGGGGGGGGATGGATTAGAGGCTGGAGGTGATGTTTACGTTCCTGTGGAGATAGTGATCCAGAAGATTTCCTGCAGACACTCCCAGCCCAAGTCCTTGACATACAAGGCCTCCAGTGCTCTCCCTCCTCCCCATGTGCTGCCCTTGCCCTCCCCTGGGGCTCTGCTCCCTCCCTCACTGACTCCGCCGCAGCCACACTGCCCTTAGCTCTCCTTCCCACTCTGTCCTCTCTGCGGACGGCTATTCCCCGGCAGCTTTATGGCCCACGGGCTCTCCCACCTCCTTCAAGCCTTTGCTTAAATGTCACCTTCTCAATAGACTGCTCAGAACGCTTCACTTAAAATTACCATGCACTTCGTCCACCCAAGTCTCCCAGGTCCCCCTTTCCCTGCTCTTCTTTAGAAACCAGTCCATGCTTCATAGCATCTGTTACCTTCTGATGTGCAAACATGCACACATACGCACGCATGCGTGCTCGCGCGCGCGCGCGCGCACACACACACACACACACACACACAACTTTCTAGTGTTCATTGTATGTTGTCTGTTTCCCCAGGCTAGAATGTAAGCTCCCTGAGGGCAGTGTTCAATGCTGCTGTACCCCAAGTGCCTAAGACGGTACTTGGCACGTGGGAGCAGCACAATTAAATATTTGTTCAATGAATAAATGATAGAGCCGAAACTCAGGGAGTGGCAGTGGATTTGGAGAGAAGGCTTGGATCTGAGAGGTCACAAGGCGGGGTTTTTAGGACCTGCTGACAGGTAGGATGGGGGTGAGACAGAGACAGAGGATGATGCCCCGATTTCTGATTGGATGTCTGGCTGGTGGTGGTTCCCCTGCCCGGAATAGAAAGTGCAGAAGAAGGGAGGAAGGGGAAGGAAGTTTTGAGGACAGGTCTCTGTGCTAAGCATGAGCTGTCATCAGACATTCAAGTGATAATTTCTAGAAGGTAGTATAGGCGTGTAGTGTGGGGCTCTGGCATGTTGTCCTGCTGGGAGTTGGAGGTTCATTTGAGAGTTGACGTGTCGATGGCAGCTGACGCCCTGGGTGTGACTGGTATCACAGAGCCTATGGAGCAAGGGAAGGCTAAAAACAGAGTCCTGGCAAACACCAACCTAGAACATATAGCACAGAGAGAAAGGAGGATCCCAGGAGGAGACCATGACTTTGCAAACAGGAGGCGATGTTAGGAGAGCTAAGAAAGGAGAAAGTTTTAAGAAAAGATGAGGGGCAATTAATCACCTCAGGTAGTGCACAGAGGTCCAGAAAGCCAAAGACCGAGAAAAGTATATTGAGCTGGTCTTTTTAGAATTTTATTTCATTAATAATATAAAGTAAATTCGGTTGCATAAATTGTAAAAATCTATGGTATGAACTCTTTCCAGTTTCCAGCCATGTAAGCTTTTTTGAATTGTGTTTTCTGATAACAGTATCACTGGTATTATATCTCTTCTCTGTTTTAATGTTCTCTGCAAGACTCAGTAATTGCTCCGATTATAGCTAAAACAATAAATTTTCTCATGGGTGTATAGATTAGCCTTGGGGTTCTGTGTCAAGCTTTGTGGCACAGGGAGATATTAAACAATGCGTACAAAAATGTAAATACGAATACTGGAAGTGAATAGTTTGAAGCCTTAAGATAGTAGCACCTTTAATTCTTTCAATTTTTAGTAGGAAAACATATTTCCAATGAGGCTGCAATAACATGAGTTTTTCCTGAAGAAAAATTCATCAGGACAAATATAATTTCTGTGCTAGTCAGAGTAAGGCTAGCCTTTTATAACAAAGAGACTGAAGAATCCATTGCTTCAAATAACAAAGTTGATCTTTGCCTTGTGTGAAGGTCTGAGATGAGTGATCCAGGTCATATGACATGGCTCCACTTGGTCATTTAGGGCCCCAGGTCCCCTTCCAGGTCGTGGCTCCCATCATGCCCTAGGGATGTCTACGTGATTGAACCTGGATTGCTGCCATGTCTACCTAGTGGCCAGTGGGAAGGAAAAGAATGTGAAGGGGCACCCCATGATCTGAAAACCTAAACCCAGTAGTGGGATACATCCTTCTGTTCCATCAGTGAATACCATGTGACTCTACCTAACCACTGGGACCTCAGAAACTGGATCTAACCAACTTCCCAAGAAGAGGAGAATAGATTTTTTTTTTTTTAAGATTTTATTTTATTTATTTGAGAGAGAGTGAGAGAGAGAGAGGCACAAGAGGAGGTAGGGTCAGAGGGAGAAGCAGACTCCCCACTGAGCAGGGAGCCCAATGTGGGACTCAATCCCGGGACTCCGGGATCATGACCTGAGCCGAAGGCAGTCGCTTAACCAACTGAGCCACCCAGGCGCCCTAGTTTTTTTGTTTTGTTTTGTTTTTAAGATTTATTTATTTGAGAGAGAGCGAGAAAGTACGCGCGAGTGGGGGGAGAGGCAGACGGAGAGAGAGAATCTCCAGCAGATTCCCCACGGAGCATGCAACCCGACATGGGGCTCAGTCTCATGACCCTGAGATCATGACCTGCGCCGAAATCAAGGGTCAGATGCTTAACCAAATAAGCCACCCATGCGCCCCAGAGGAGAACAGATTTTAGTGTACACCTGTTAAGTAGTAAAAACAGGTTGTATTCAGGAACAAATGCAGGAGGGGAAAAGAGATCTCAGTGTAGAACTGGGCTCACTTCCAAATACAACATGGGCAGTGGGAATTTATAGCCAAGGAGCTGGGTGGAGGTCAGTGGATGGAAACTGACTAAGAGAAGACCTCAGAGGTGAGGAGATTGCTGACGGCAGGCCAGGGTGAACAGATACCACCCGGGGGATGAGGAAGCTGTTGTTGTTTTTAGATGAGGAATTTGATCAGATATCAAGAGCGGGAGATTCTGGCTAACTCAGCTTAGCAGGATTTTTGCTAAAGCCGAGCGATACAAAGATGGACATAAGTCCAAAGAATATGGGAGTCCGAAGGTTGAGGCCTAGTTGGAAAGAGGGTTCAGAGGAGCCTAATTATAGTTTACTCAAAGAGAGTCTTTATCACAGTTAGCAGTTTCATTCATATTTCCATTGAATCTGAATATTTTAATAAACCTGTATAGGAACTTGGCATATTCATTGCTACAGATTATGGGAGGCCTGGACTTTCCATAAAGCATCTAAGGTTGGAGTACTTCCCAGTCGAATTCATTCACACATGTTTTGGGGTATCTGCCACATGCCCGGTACCCTCTTGGCTACAGGGGTGGGGCCATGGACTCCGCAGGCAGGATCTGGTCATTTAGACCCAGGACAGGCCCAGGGACTCAGGTTACCTGGTCCTTGTCTTGTTAAAAAGATCCAGCCATTTGCTATCTCTTCTGTAAGTGAAGTTTTTCTTCCATGAATCGCCATCTTTCCAGACCAAAAACAAGTTCTCATGTATACAGTTAGATATTAGCATATCATTAAGCAGTCAGATGCCCTGAAAAGCTGGGATAGCTCAGCAAACACTTCCAGTAGCGAAATTTCAGTCCTGAAATTGGCAGCAAAACCTTCTCAGATCCTCAAAAATCACCAACCCAAAATAGTGGTCTGGAGCAGAACATTTGACTCCTGTTGATGGATGGCCTTTGTGTATGTGAATTTATAGCGGCAGCCTCATTGCCAGTCTGGAACTCTTATTCCCCAGTTTGCAAATATTTCTGTGTTTTAGCCTCAGGAATAATAACATACCCTCTGTTTTTATGGAAAGACACAGTGCCCTGCAGCAATCCAGGATGATTAGACTATACCGTGTCAGGATTAGCATTTTCTAAATTTAGAACATTTTTTTAAAGATGGGCTCTTTTTTAGCTTTACATTTTTGAAAGATAATAAAAGCATTTTAGCAGCCTAAGTTAACTGGGCTTTCAGACAGGAGAGGTCTGCCATTAGAACAATTAATCCTTGCTTCCTTTCATGCTGATTTAGCTTAGCTGGAAACTCGTCTTATCTGTTCACTTCCGTTCAGCTGGAGAATGTATGTACATTCATAGGCCATTTCATTATTCAAAGAAAAGGTGTGTATATTCATAGGTCATCTCATTATTCGGAGAAAATGTGTATATATTTGTAGGTTATTTCATAGTTCAGGGAAATTGTATACTAGCAACCAGAAAGATAAATTAAATCTTGATTTACCCCCATGTACTTCATGGCAGAAATATAAATGATGTCAGGTATTATAAAAAAAAGAGATGTTTTTTAAGCTCTTCGTTACCACCCCACATAAAATGAGATACTTGTATATGCAAAATGCATAGTGAATTGTAGAGAGCTATAGAGATCTTGGTTATCTTAATCAGGTGGTTTTCTTCAAAGGAGATTTCCCAGAGGTCAGTTAAGGATTACTGAGGTGAAGGCTGAGGTAGGTTTGCTAGGAGGAAGGGGTGGTGCATGGAAAGTCTTGGACGCATGAAAGAACAAGGTGGTTGGGGGGACAGAAGGCGCTGGGTTATGTGGGACCAGAGCCCAGCATTAGACTGGAGAGGGTGGGGAGCCCTGAGCCTCCAAGTGAGGTGGGGCCTGGCACGGACTGGGGAAAGGTGGCAGTGTACAGGAGCGGGACAGCCGGCCTTGCTTTTAAGTCGATCTCGGGCTGTGCAGAAGGCAAGATTAGGCCACAGGTAGGCCAAAGAGGAGCCCATGCCTTACGGACAAAAGCTGCCTGGGCCAGAACCCAGGCAGTGGCCGCAGGGATGCAGGAGAGAGGGGCAGAGAAGCCCCAGGAGGACCGGCACATCTGCAGGATTGGGCAGCAGATAGCATGCGTGGGAGCAGGGGAGGGAGAAATCAGGAAGGACTCCCAGCCTGGGCCTGTCTGGTGGCAGCCGGTAGACTCCCGAGGAGGGAAACAGGAGGGGTGCGGGTTGGGGATCTGGGAGGTGGAGGGCAAAGCTGACTCCCACAGTGCCCGGATTGATGGATGCTTCAGCAGAAGTTGGGGGCCCAGGCTGGCCTCATGGAACGTCAGTAATGATACTGGAATTTCAGAGTAATTGAGCCAGGACGCCTGGGTGGCTCAGTCAGTTAAGCATCTGCCTTCCACTCAGGTCGTGATCTCAGGGTCCTGGGATCGAGTCCCGCATCGGGCTCCCTGCTCTGCGGGGAGTCTGCTTCTCCCTCTGCCTGCCACTCCCCCTGCTTGTGCGCTCCCTGTCTCTCTCTCTCTCTCTCTGACAATAAATAAAATCTTTATTTAAAAAAAAAAGGGACTGAGCCAAGAGCGCCTGGGTGGCTCAGTCAGTTAAGCATCTGACTCTTGATTTTGGCTCAGGTCATGACCTCAGGGTCCTGAGATCCAGCCCGGTGTCGGGCTCTGCACTCAGCAGGGATCTGCTTCTCTCCTTCTTCCTCTCCCTCTGTCCCTCCCCCTGCTCCTGCACACTCACTCTCTCTCAAAATAAATAAATAAAATCTTAAAAAAAAAAAAATCGAAGTGATTGAGCCAGGACCTGTTATTATGGGTGAGCAGGGCGTGACACAGATGGGATTTTGCTGGCTGAAGTTGAAACCCTTGTGGACTGTTTTGGAGCATAGTGACCACTAATTCTCTGTGTCGTCTCTTTAGGAAACCGTATCACCCTAAACTGGAAGCTTTCGTTAGTCACATGTCAAAAGGATCCGGAGCCTCTTTCGAAAGCCCCTTACACTCCCTGCCTCTTTACCCCAATCACCCACTGTGTGAGATGGGAGAGCTCACGCAGACAGGTATGTGTGACATCCATCGGCTCACTCCTTCTCCTGCGCTCTCTTCTGCGTGGCATACATTGAAGCAAAGACTCCTGGGCAAGGTGCTGTGGGCTCACAGGGATGACTAAGGATGGGCGCCTCGGGGAGCTCTGAGTCCACCAAGGTATCTAAGTAAACATCTGATTTCTAAATAATTAAAAATAACCCTTTTTCTTAGTGCAAGAGCAGTATATGTCAATGGAAGAGAATTAGGAAAGGCAGTCAAGCAAAAGGAAGAAAAGTTGAACATACCCATAATCCCAATCCACCGAAGAAATTAGTCATCTTAAAAAAAAGGAAGAAACAAGTCATCTTTTTTCGTCAATGTGCATGCACACATGCACACACAGTAGTATCTTACTAAACATACTCTTTAATGGTACATTGTGATAATCTTTCCCTATCAATATTCATGAACAGCATCATTTCTGGTGTCTCCATATTACCCCACTATTACTGGGCCATAATTTATGTAACCAATCCCATGTTCTTAGAAACGTCAAAGAAAATGACCTGATCAGTTCTCCTTTGCGAGATCTCAGGAGCAAACACATATGGCAGATCCCCATTGAGCACAGAGTTTGTTTGGCTGAGTGTGTCCCTCACAGAAGCCCACCTTTCCCTCTGCAGCCCTGTTTGTACCATTACACAGCCAGTTCCCGGATGTCAGGGCAGGTTGGCGAGTTAACTGGGGGCTACCTCTGTTAGGAAGAGAAGGAACTGGGAGCCCCCCAGTAGGTTCTAGCTTCTTCCTACTTCAGTCTGGGACCTCAAAGGACCTTTGCGTGGTCACCAGCCTTATTGGAAGAATCGAGAGGACCTATCAACCATGTTGTTTGCTCGTCCCACAAGTACCGTGGGACCTCGGCTCTGATGAAAGGCAGGTCTCTGTCCTATGGTTGGCCCTGCGGAGTTTTGCCATGTTTTTGAAGCCATGATTATTGGGGAATGATAGTGACAGAATGGGCAAAGCTGAAGGCTCTGGGAGACTAACCTTGAATAAGGAGTTTTGTCAAAAGCTTTTGATAATTAGTTCCGTGTGCTCATGGTTTGCCGTGGTTTAAAACAGGAGTTCGCCTCCGACCAGATCAAGCATCCCCTTTTTGTAACAAATATTTTGTGGTGCTCCCTTCACTCTCCTAAAGTGAAATTCAAATATAATTATAACCTTTCTAGATACAAAATTGTAAAGAAAAGCAGTTATATCAGGCACCGTAACCACAATATAAAGGAGAAACAAAAGGAAATGAATTTATTATATAATGCTATGTGTCTCAGTATAAAAGCCTGAGCACACCCTCACTAGGAAACAGAATGACATAGTTGGTTGTTTACACTTAAATGTAGATTGGCAGACCAAGGGATATTATATTGGGAACTCTAACGCCACATTTTGGGACATGATTTTTTTAACAAGTTCTGACCAAAATAAAATACAGATGTCCCTTAATTTCTGTTAGGCTAAAGTATTTAAACAGGATTTTCACACATGGTAGTATCTTGTGATACATTCAAAAGTTATGTGGGTCAGAGAATAGTTCCTTGGGGAGACTGTCTAGCTCCGTGGCCCCCACCCAGTAGGTGTCCAGAATGTTCCTCCCCGTATTATTATGACAACTCAACCCCCCAAACCCTCCCTGAGAGCAGAGCCAGGCTTGCTGAGAACCATTGGTTAGACCCTCTGGTTGCAAGTAACAGAAACCAACCCCAGCAGAAGAGGGATATTTATTGTATGGATTCAGGGTGACTCCAGACCCTGAGGGCAGGAATATGACCAGGCCTCCGGAAACTGGAACCAGGAATAAGAAATCTGTCCCAGCCTCTGTGGTTTTGGTCCGTGTCTGTCCACAGAGGGACAGTCCTGGCCACACCTAGAGGTGAACTGCAAGTCCAAATTCTTGAGAGAGTAAGAGAGAGAAAATCTGATGGGGTCCTTCAGGGTCAGTGTCCATCAGCCAGCTCGGAGGTCAGGGTGACTGTGCACTGAGCAGTGGGGGCCTGCCCAGCCTCTGGATCCAGGGGCTGTTCCCCGAGAAGAGGTTGGGGGAGTTGTCCCTCACACACTTAGAGACACTCATTCATGCTTACCTTTCTCCTCAGTTGTTCTATTATCTACATCGTTTTCTAAATCAGCATTACTCGAGAAATCATTTTCACGGTACTGTTTGCTCCTGTTCCCTAATTTTCTTTTAATGCTCACTTTTATCTTCTATTTTAAATTTCATTAAAAATGCATAGCTGTTAGAATAACCATTTCTAACTGAAACACTTTTGGCACCCCACAGTAACTATATAAGACCCATCATTAGTGCCTACTCTATTCAAGATGCTTTGGCAGCTGCTGAGTGTAGGGGGGCGGGGAGTGGCTGGATGAATAGATGCTCCCCGCCTTGTCCTAAAGGAGCATGCAGCTGCCATGGGATGCTCCTCGATCGCAGCTCAAGTCCTGGAGATCCAGTGGAACGGGAACAGGAAGGAATTCTTGGTCTGCCCTGGAGGAGGAAGAAGGAAGACTACAGAGCCCGCAGTATTGGAGCCAGGCACTGGATGAGGATTTCTCTAGGCTGGGAAAGGGGAAGGGCGTGACCAAGGTCATGAAGATACGGGCTGTGTTTGGAGAGGCTAAGAGGCCCCAACTGGCTAGAACTTAGTATTTCTGCCTGAAGAGACAGGGAGGAAGTGCTACGAGCAGGGACTAGGAGGGCAAGGTTGGGCCCAGATAGGGGCTGGAGTGCCAGCCACCTCTGCCACTCTTAACAGTGATTCGCTCAGGGCCTCAGTTTCCTCAGCTATAAAATAAAGAAAAAAGGGAACAATAATAACATGCCTACCTTATCGGGGTTTTGTGAGGATGAAAGGAGAAAGGTCTGGCACACGGGAAGCCCTCAACCCTAATATATGCAGCCTAGGAATATAAGGCAGGCCCAGAGGTGAACTGGGGCCAGACACAGATTCTTAATGTTTGTCATCATGGTTTGCCTCTTTTTGCAAACCATTCTGGAAATGCCTAAGACCTGTGTCAGCCCAGATCTCTGAGGGAGTCCTGCGCTCGATATTTTTCCTTCAGAAGGGGACGCAGACGTCCTTCGTGATGTTTTCCTGAGCTGTTCCCCCTTCCTGGGCCAGTGCAGTGCCCTCTGTCTCATGCATCGCAGCCTCGAGTTGTCTCAGGTTTTCACACCATTTATGCATCTGAATAAGCGACATTGGTCATGAACTGGTCGGGGGGCCTGAGTGTGGTTGACCCTCAGAGAATTCAGATCTGTTACTGAGATTCCATCCCCCTCCATCCTGTTGCCTGGTGGGTGAGCTTGCTTTCATCTTGGACTGTCTTCTCCTGCTTGAAGATAAGGCTTTGCTTTTCTTTCTTTTTTTTTTTTTTCAAGATAATTTGTTACCGTACTGTGGTAGTTCAAAACTAAAACTTTTTAAGCTTTTAGTTGACAGGTAAATTTAAAATTCTTGTTCCTATCCATGTTCCATTTGCCCCATTTCTGTGCCCCCATCTCCTCAGGTAACCATTGCTGTTGGTTTCTTATGCATCTTTCCAAAGTTTCTTTATGCAAAACACAAACAACTGGAAATACACATTCTTATTTTTCCCTCATTTTTATTTAAAAGGAGTATAATAAATGTACTGTTCTGCACTTGGCTTGTTTTTTCAAATATTCTATCTGGGTGTCTGAGAGATCATTCCGTATCTCTGCAGACAGAATGTCCTTGATGAGCCAGTAATGTCCAGGAGGATTAGGTGGAATGTACCTAGAAGGTTGGCGGGGAGCCTTCACTTGGCAGAGTAGGGAGAATGAGGAGGAGAGAACCTCCCACCAGTGAGGGGACTAAGCAGCCAGCAGCACCTTTTTCTCTTTACCTGACTGATTTCCATGGTCCCTCCCTGCACACTAAAGAATGCTGTGTCCCGGGGCAGGAGGGAGAAAGTTCTCCTTAAGCCCACGCCAATTATAGCCTTGACACCTGCCAGGAGGCTCGACCGCTGCCCTCCTCGGCCCACCAGTCACAATGCCCCCTCCCAGGGAAGGGAGGGATTGAGCAGATGGTCCTGGTGCTCCCCTCCTCTGCTCATCCCTTCATGGATAAGCCCAAGGGGCTCCCCTCATGAGTTCCTGCAAACCCATTCTTGTAGCTTCCACATGCTGGGGAATGGTTTTGTTTATTATATTCTCATCACTGATCGAAAGCACTGCAGAGTTGGCCACTGACTCGGCCTCCCTTTGCTCCCCCTTTTGCTGAGCTGGTAGTGAGGACGGTTTGTGTCCCTGTGTTTCAGGAGTCGTGCAGCATTTGCAGAATGGCCAGCTGCTGAGGGACATCTATCTAAAGAAACACAAACTCCTGCCGAGTGACTGGTCCACAGACCAGCTTTACTTGGAGACCACTGGGAAAAGCCGGACCCTACAAAGTGGGCTGGCCTTGCTTTATGGCTTTCTCCCCGATTTTGACTGGAAGAAGATTCATTTTAGGCACCAGCCAAGCGCTCTCTTCTGCTCTGGAAACTGCTATTGCCCCGTGAGAAACCAGTATCTGGAAAAGGAGCAGCGTCGGCAGTACCTCTTACGTTTGAAAAACAGCCAGCTGGAGAGGACCTACGAGGACATGGCCAGGATCGTGGACGTCCCCACCAAGCAGCTTCGAGCTGCCAACCCCATAGACTCCATGCTCTGCCGCTTTTGCCACAACGTCAGCTTCCCGTGCACTAGGAATGGCTGTATTGACATGGAGCACTTCAAGGTGATCAAGACGCATCAGATAGAGGACGAGAGAGAGAGGCGGGAGAAGAAGCTTTATCTGGGCTATGCGCTCCTGGGCGCCCATCCCATCCTCAACCAGACCGTCAGCCGGATGCAGCGCGCCGCAGAGGGCAAGAGAGAGGAGGTCTTTGCCCTCTACTCTGCTCACGATGTCACTCTGTCGCCAGTTCTCAGTGCCTTGGGCCTTATGGAAGCCAGATTCCCAAGGTTTGCAGCCAGGTTGATCTTGGAGCTCTGGCAAGACAGAGAAAAGCCCAGTGAGCATTCTGTCCGGATTCTGTATAATGGTGTCGATGTCACATTCCACACCTCTTTTTGCCAGGACCACCGCAAGCATTCTTCCAAGCCTATGTGCCCCCTCGAAAACTTAGTCCGATTTGTCAAAAGGGACATGTTTGTGGCCCTGGGGAGTAGCGGTAGTACTAATTATTATGATGCATGTCACAGGGAGGGATTCTAAAAGGAAGGCAGTGCGGTGCTGATAGAATCTGTGCCAATACAGACGGATGGAAAGGGTGCGCTTCTAGTTCTATCCATTGCCAAGGGCGTAAGATTTTTGATTTATAAAGGCTAGAAATCATGTTGGAGCCACGTAGATGGTTGGGTTGAACAGGAAGCACAGGAAGCACACTGTTATAATCGGGTACGTGAGTCATGGCCAGTTCACAGAGAGAGGAAGGTACTTTCATCATAGCCCGACTTTGCTTACGATGCCAGGAGAATATTTCAATACCCAGAGTTGCCAATCCACATGTGTATTATTTCGATCTGACTATATGATGGAACCAGCAAACCTCAGCCAAAATTTTCTTCAAATGGGAACATATTGCCTTATCCCCGTTCAGCAAAACATTTCCTGAAGTGATTTATCTAAAACAGGGGTTGGCACATTTTTTCTGTACGGGGCCAGATAGTAAAGGTTTTAGACTCTGGGGACCCAGAGGCCACATACAGTCATGTGGCATGAAAGCAACCGTAGACAACATGTGAACAAATGAACGTGTGGCTGTGTTCTCGGCCCAGGGTTGCTGACCCCCGATCTCAAAAACCCAGGCTCTACTACATTTGCACTTTCAGCACTTTGAGAACCAGTTGAATACAAAGAATTATTCAGTGGTGCCTCCAGGAACTTCTGCGAGAAACACCGAATTTGGTCTGTCACTGGTGTTACAACAAAACTTGAGGGGACATAAACATCAAATCAGAATGAATCATAGAAAAATCATTAGGATAATACTTGATGTTCATAATGATTATGGTAGAAGATAGTTTTAAGTATGTTTAAAATTTTTGTCTGCTGTAGTCTATTTGCTGTATAGGCTGAAATTTTTGTATTCCATTTAGTATTTTTGTAGTCTAGGAAAATATTTTCTAAGACCGGTTTTAGATGTGCTCTTATTCGTAGGTAATGTTCAATTTACCGTACCTGCTTGGTGGTTAGAAGGAAGCCAGAAGCTGAATTCAGGCACTTTCTTCCAATAAAACTAATTATGGCTCATTCCCTTTGACAAGCCGTAGAATTGGATCAATTTTTTAAACCGTTTTCATCAATTTCAAATGGTAAATTCTAATTGATTTTTAAATAAGTTTTTGGAAGAACTTTGTAACTAGATAGTTGAATAATCTTTATAAGATATTTTATATATTAGAAGCAATTGTAATTAAATCTGTGGTTTCTGAACTACAATGGTGCTAGTTCCATGTGAAGAAATGTAAAGTGCAAGTAAGAATCCCCAGTGTTGTTGGCATTCCAAACTTTTCTCTTTGTTTTTGTCTAATGTTGCCTTTGGATATGTCTGTTTCTATAAATAAATTTTTGAAGAATACTCATACATACAAGTCATGGTTTGTACCTACAAGTCACTCTAGTTCTTTTCAAGTAAGTTCCAATATTTTAGAAATTTATCTTTTTTTTTTTTTTGATAGAAGTAAAAACGTTTAAATTAGAAAACTCCCAGTTATTCGTGGAAAAGGGAGGCCAGGCAGTGCTGGGCCTGGAGGGGCCAGGGCTTGCTGCTCTGACAGCAGCATCTGGGCTCCGGCGACTGGGGGCACGTGCACAGCTAGTGGCCTTGGACTGGTTTGAAATCTATCTTAATTGCTTCTTTGATTGCTGAAAATCACGTGTTGTCTCTTGAGTATTTAAAGCCTAATCAGTTGTTTTTTGCTCCCACTCACAGTATATCTGATTTAGAACTGCTAAACACAGCTTGAAGACTTAAAACTAAAAGTGGATCAGAAGATATTTTAAAAATCAGTTTCAGGGGCACCTGGGTGGCTCAGTCGGTTAAGCATCTGACTCTTGATTTTCGCTCAGGTCATGATCTCAGGGATGTGAGATCGAGCCTCGCCATGTCAGGCTCAGGCTCTGGGGTCAGCAGGGAGCTTGCTTGAGAGTCTCTCCCCACCCCCGCCCCTCCCCCCTGCTCTGGTGTGGGGCACTCGCTCTGGCTCTCTCAAACAAATAAATCTTTTAAAAAAAATCAGTTTGAAACATCTGTTCGTAAAGGTAAATATTTTGGATAAGAGCCAACATTAAAAGCATAGATAAAGCTTTTGCCTCCCAAGACATCAGGTATGCACATCATTAATAAATCTTCCTTAGTATCAAGTTCTGAGACATCTCACTCCATAAACACTGAGCACTGAGCCGAGATTAATGCATTTAGTTCTTGGTTTCTGGACAATGGTCTTAATGACTTAGTTCATGGCAGGTGTGGGTGTATACATGTGCACATTCAGCTGTCTTGTTTTTATGATTAAAATTAATACATGCACACTGGAAAACAATCTATACTGAAAACTTCAAAAGTGAAGTTCTCCTCTAGTCTCACCTCCAGAGAGAACACCGTGAGCTGTTTGACAGATATTCTTCCAGAAATTTTCCATGCAGATGTAGAACTATAAGTAATTTGTAAATAGCAATAAGATCACTTTATATATATTGTTCTGTGACTTGCTTCCCTTAAAATATATTTTATTATTTTGTTTCCTTTAACAGTATGTCTTAAACATATTTCTCATTAACTTGCTTCCCCTAACAGTATGTCTTGGAGATATTTCCACATGAGATAGATGATAGGTAGGTAGCTAGCTAGCTAGCTCTTTTTATAGACAGTGCATAATATTTAATGATATACATAACACAAGTTTTTAAAATATCATTAAAATGGTACCTGGGGGCACCTGGGTGGCTCAGTCAGCTAAGCGTCTTGCCTTTGGCTCAGGTCCTGATCCTGTCACTGAGCCCTGTGTTGGGCTCTCTGCTCAGCAGGGAGCCTGCTTCTCCCTATCCCTCTGCCTGCCACTCCCCCTGCTTGTGCTCTGGCGCTCTAGCTCTCTGTCAAATTAAAAAAAGACAAAACAATGGCACCTGGGTGGTGCAGTCGGTTAAGCATCCGGCTCTTGGTTTTGGCTCAGGTCATGCATGATCTTAGGATCTTGAGATCCAGCCCGGCGTCAGGCTCTGAGATTAGGGTGGAGTCCGCTTAAGACTCTGACTCTCTCTCTCTCTCTCTCTCTCTCTCTCTCTCTCTCTCTCTCTCTCCTCAGTCGTTAAGCGTCTGCCTTCGGCTCAGGTCATGATCCCAGGTCCCACATCGGGCTCCCTGCTCAGCGGGAAGCCTGCT